TCGTTTTCTTCTTCCTTCCTATCTGTAACATTCAAGAACTTTCGCAACAACAATTCGACCCCGCGAGCACAGCATGTTGGTCGCTGCCCTTCGCGCCGTCTTTCCACAAAAAATAATTCAGTGCATCGCTGAACCTCTCGATCCACGCGGACTTTTAACTCGGTGCATGGAACGATGAGCTCCTCGGGGGTTTTCACTCAACCTTTGACTCCACCTTTCATTCGTTTTGTCGGAAGACCTGGTTGAAACCACATGCCACACTACTGCATGGGTGCTTGCTTGTTTCGTTCAGTTTTTACCGCCTGTGTGAAAAGGATCCTACCATTTAGGGTACTATATTAGGGTCCCCTATTTTCGGAAACTCCCATATAGGTGCTTGATGCTGGCAAGTCGAGGTAGGCAGCTGATCAAGGGGCTTCTAACAAGAAATTTTGGGACATATAACGACCGGTTTCTGGCTCAGGCTCCTAAACCTCATGATTGCCGCCCAAAGAACTGTAGTGCTGGGTTTTGCGACGGCAGCCTTGGCTTAGAACACCCCACCTAACATTGTTCCCGATGAAGAGGTTTTTTCGATGCTTAACTCGGGGTTTTAAGAGCGTTTCAGGAGCTTTGCCAATCTAGACGGTGTCGGGTCTCGTGTTGACGAGTGTATCTATCTGTTCTGAAGATGTAGCTGAAGTTTTGCAATTCTGCTTGCCTTGAAACCGCCCAAGCCTGTTCCAAACTCAATGATTCAGCCCCAGATGCTCTGACCCGCCCACCCGAACAAAAACCGACGTCCAAGTTCGCGACCCCAACCTGCACTTCCGTTTCCTGTGTTGGCTAACCCTGGGGTGTAGCTTCGTCCCACCCCCTTAGGGTTCAGGGTTGTGCTATGTCGCGACTTTGGCCTTGAAAAGGCCTTTATAGATCCCCCAAAAGACCAAAGTATATACTGTACCGTTACCAGCCCTCATACCTTAAATACCCTAGAACCGCTCATTATAGAATCCTTCGAGAGCTATGAGCTACTTTAGGACCTTTAAAAGAACCCTGAAGAGAACCCTTAAACCAATGAAGATCCGAGGATGATAACGGCATGTGATGTCCGCTTCTGCACAGAGGCGCGAAGCCCGTACTGGGTTTGGCCCTGAACGCAAGGTATCCTTTAAAGGAAGCCCTGTAGATCCCTATAGATCCCTTAAAGAACCCTTTTAAGGAACCCCCCTATGGGCTCCTTTAAAGGATCCTCTAAGGGTGTCTTTGCAGGACTCCTTTAAGGGATCCTTTCGGGGTTCCTTTAAGGGCTCCTTTGTGGGGTTCTCTGAGGGTTCCTGTTTAGGGGCTCCTTTCGGGGGTTCTCTAAGGCTCTAAGGGTTCCTTTATGGGCTCCTTTCTGGGATCCTCTATAGGGGTTCCTGAATGACCTCCCTTTAAATTTAGGGCTTCCCTAAACTAGGAAAGGCTTTGGGACATGTTATATTTTCTCTTATTGGGCTTAAGAGGATCTTACCTACTAATGTTTTTCAAAGGCTTTAAAAGCCCCTCCTATAAAGGCTGCTCTATGGTATCCTTTACGGGGTCCTTCAAGTGTGCCATCAGGGAATCCTTGAAGGATCCTGGACGGGGTATGTCTTACCTCCGACTCTGTAACACATGGCTTTTCAGGTACCGGACTTTTATGTGGGCCATATATATACAGATATATATATATATATACACATACATATGTATGTGTATATATATATATATGCACACACATAAATGTAGACATAGACATATAACTATATGTTTAGGTCCTGTAGGCACCTGTGTTTTCACTGAAAGCGCAAGGTTTTCTGGAGGGGTAGAGTAGAGACGTATATAGGGCTGCAGGTTTTGGGGATTTCGGCTTCTGGCTGCAAGGCTCTAAGGCTTTGCTAATTTGCACAGCCCCAAAGACCTGGACCGTAAAACCGCGAAGCCCTCAACCATAGGCCCAGAAGCCCTGAGCCCTAAAGCCTTAAAGCGGTTAATGGAGCCTTGATAATTTCGGAAGCAAGGCACTTATGTGATTCCATTGGATTTGTGTTGGGGGTTTAGTGTTCAGAGTGCGTTGCGCTTCGTTTCAAGGGGTTTCATTTGAGGTTCATGGGCCTTTTGTCATTGCAGCTGGCTTGTCCCAACTACGCTAGATGTCCAGTTGCGCTCGAGCTCACAGTGATATAGTGCTTTGCGATCTTACCTGCAAAAGATAAGATGGATTGAATGGCGCTGGAAGCCCTGAGACTTACACCCTAGAATCTGGCTCTAGCTTTAATTTGTAACTTCCCAGAGAGGCCTTTAGCAAGGACACTCTTGGAGCTGAGGTCATAGAACCTCATGACAGCTCATGACCGACTGCTAAGAACCCCCGGTGAAAACCTGGAACCTAAAGCCAGGTAGATTCCGAAGTCCCGCGACTTATGGGAGTTTCCGAAAGTTCGGGGGTATCTTATGTTGGGGTCGCTACAATACGGATCCTACTATTTAGGGATTTAGGGTAGTGTATTGGGGTCCCCTTGAAATCCCTCATAAGTCCGTAACCCTACTAGACTCCTTAACCCTAAACCCTAAACCCTAAACCTTAAACCCTAAACCCTAAACCCTAAACCCTAATTATATGAACCTTTGCAGAAACCCTCGTAGAACCCCCAAGTTTCCCTCAACCCTAAAGTCTATGCCTATCCCTCCAGGGACCTTATTATGGGGTCCTTAAGGGGTCTAGGGCCCTAACTATGAGGTCCTTGGAGGGATAGGGTATGGTTTGGGGTTTAGGATTTAAGACTGTAAACGCGTCGAGGCCCCAAAGCCGAAGCCGCAGGTAAAACATGAGCCCTAAAGTTCAAACTCTGTTGGCCAGCTTCGCAAGCACATATTGAAGTCATAACAAGGAGACAACTATCCTGAAACCACAAGCCAAGAACCTGTGACACCCTGATGAGGATGCTTATTTCCAAGCTGCTGAAGTTGACGTCGGCTTGGCCGCAGATGTGGGCGGTCTGCAACGCCTTCCGAAGATCATTGGGAACCAGATGCTCGGATGTTTTGGGGGTTTAGGGCAAAGAAAGTTTCTTGCAGTTTAGGGCTTAGAGTTCAGGTATGTGTGTAGGTATGCATGTTTGCACGCATGCACATATTGAGTTTTGGTACTGTACGTACTATATGGATGTATTATGTGGTTGTGCGTTTGTTCGTTGTTTCGCGTGCTCGTTTGTGTGTATCGTTTGTGTGATTGGGAGGTAGGTATGCGAGTGGGTAGGCATGTAGGTGGGCAGGTACGTATGTATTTGTGTGTGTGTGTGCATGTGTGCCCATGTATACATAATAACTACATGCACACATCTGTTGGTAAATGTATACATATAACTGCACATAGAAGCCCAACCTATTCTCCAAACCTCTAATTGCATAGAAGGGCACTTGCTCTAATGCACGATGAGGGAGTTTCGGAAAATCAACGATCGCTTGTCTGGTGGAGTCTTCTGTTGTTGTAAACTGGCCTCCAACGGCAGACCCCTGATTTCCAGACATCCCCTCAACAACCTCTGACGAGGTTTATATGTCTAATGCCCAAAACACCGTTCAACAATTGAGTCCTTAGGGCCAGAATCCCACCCCATAGCCTTTTACTTTTTCAAGCCCGGCAGTATTGAACTCCAAGCTCTAGGCCCTTGTGCCTAAAAAAGACGGAACCCCTGAACCCTGTGGACTCCCAGAAAGTTGGAACATGGATTTAGGATGATTGCCACTATGAACATGATTGCCTAAACCTTGTAAACCTTAAATCCTAACTAAAACCCTAAACTCTAAACCCCTAAACCCTAAAACCCTAAACCTGTCCTCTGTAGTACGACACCTAGGAGCCTCGTCCGGGAGCTGGCGCTGTCTGGGCGGAGGATGGCCGCCCCCGAGGCCCCTCAAAAACTTGCCCTGAGCCTCCGGGTAGCCATGCAGTCCCTAAGCCCTAGGCCCTATGCCCTGAAACCTAAAGCCCTAAACCCTACGCCCTGAACCCGAAAGCCCTAGACCCTATAAGCCCTAAACCGAATGCAGAATGACCTCTGGTAGGGTGTTAAATTCTGATGTAGAACTGAATTCCGGGGTAGAATTTGCGTGTTATGCACCTAAACATCAATGTATTGGTGTTGGTGCAGTATGTAAAAGTAAGTCAGCATACACATATATGTATATACCCATATATATATATACACACACACCTTTATATCTATATATTTCTTATGTATACGTGTATCTGTAGATCTGGGCATGTATGTATGTATGTATGTATGTACATGCTCGGCCCAGAGTATCTACCCTGCTATGGCCACAGTACCTATTGTAGTAGGACGTGGCCCTTCAGGCTCAGTGAAGCTTAGCAGTCAAAGACAGCAGCCCTGCAAGGGCAACAGTTAAGCCCTACGGCAATCCACCCTAAACCCTAAACCCCTGAACCCCTAAACCCTAAACCCCTAAACCCCTAAACCCTAAACCCCTAAACCCTAAACCCAAAGTCCCTAAACCCTAAACCCTATACCCTAAGCCCGAAGCCCACCTCAAAGTCTTCAAGTATTGAACGGTCGGCAGCCTCCAGTCCCAAGGCACAATGAGTGTAAGTTTTCCATAGAAAGTAGACTAGGACCCAGAGTAGGCCCTTATTCCCTTTATTAGGGTGTAGGTTCCCTTATAACCCCCTTTAAACCAAAAAGGGCACCCTTTTTATTCCGAGGTTACTCTTAGGTCTAGCCATAGAAAGTAGAGATTTGCACGCCAGTCTGTCCAACTTCCGAAATCCTCAGACTTGGTACCAGCTCAGAAAAGGCAGAATTGCAGAGTTTGAAGTAGTGAGTGTGTGACATGGAGATTTTCGATTGAAGACCTACTGTTGCTTGATCCTGTCGCCCTTTCAACGTCATACCGAAAATGCGTGGCTCGAGCGCGATCGGGAGGGCTTTGTCACACAGCCCTACAGTCCCCCTTCCGTGCAGACGTAAGTAACCATGACAACGGAGGAGCTAAGCGCAGCGATCGAAGCTACTAAAACGCAGGTCCAAGCTGCACTGGCAACAAGGCGAGAGCTCTCAGCGGCCAAGCAGCAAGCTCTCCAGCGGCAAAGGCTGCGCCGAGAGCTAGATGAGCAGAGGGAGATTCTCAATGCCGAGCTGGACTACAATGCAGACGAAGAGTATTATAGAGACCTCATCGACCAGGACAGATGTGGAGACCACCTACCTGCTTCAGGTCAAGGTCCTCCTCATGAAAGCAATATGTGTGCAAACAGTGAGGAGGTTACGAGTTTCGGCAGCAAGGTTGCCAAAGGCGAGTACACATGGAAACTTGCTGAAATGTCTTGGCTCCGATCCACCGTTCGATATGCATCGGGCGGCTTCGTTATGTCTGAATGGTTTCAGGTGGGCGCATGCAAGTGTCGGTTTTTCTACCATCCTGACGGAGGCTTCATCCTATATGATAGTGAAAGAGTGCACAATAAGCGTGGTTCATTGGCCATAATAGCACCAAGCTCAGCAGAAAGTTTCGTGCTTCGCTACAGCATTTATGCCAAAAGTCGTGGCGGAGACTTCGTGCAATGGGGCAAGACGCACGACGAATTCAAATCTCTTGGTTTGTGCCAAGCATTTGGACCGGACGTGCATCCAGACACAGATGGATCGCCTCCACCAACAATGGGACTATTCGGCCTGTCACATGATCAGCTCTTGCAGTCGGAGTGGGTCCACGATGACGTTTTGACTTTGAAGTTCGTTTTGGAAGTCCGGCCACAAGGAATGTATTCGTCACAGGTGGTTGCCCGAGAGGTTGCCGGTGTTCCAGATTCCACCCTGTGTCGCGACACACAGGCTTTACTCGAACAAGGTAGTTACAGCGACGTCGAGTTCAGGCTGCAGGGTGAAGTGATCCGTGCGCATTCACAAGTTCTCTGTGCGAGATCGGAGGTGCTCAAGAAGCAGCTGAACTCAGGGATGAAGGAGTCCATGTCCAAGGTCATCCTGATCGAAGACTGCTCTGCGGCCACCTTCAAAGCCTTCTTAAGGTTTCTCTACACTGACACCCTGCCCAGTGCCGAGGACCTTGCAGCAGAGCCATCGAGCCAGGCCTTGAAAGAAGAGGGTGGTCGGATCACTTCACAGATGGAGGCACTGTGGGCAGTCAGTCACAAGTACCAGGCGGGTTTTATCGAAATTTGTTCTCGTCGAAGGTTTCTCTCCCACTGCCATAGCCGCCACACCAACATGCCCGGACTTAATGCACGATACAGATATATGTGTGCATGTATGTTTTCGCAGGTACCTGAGGAGTACATAGGTACATGGGTACGTAGTACGTAGGCGCACGCATGTATGCGTGTGTATGTATGTATGTATTTATGTATGTCTGCATATCTTTATGTATATATATATATATGTGTCTATGCATGCATGCATGCATGCATGCGTGCATTGATATATGTATGTATGTATGTATGTATGTATGTGTATATATGTATGTATATATATATATATGTATATATGTATATATGTATATATATATATATATATATATGTGTGTCTATGTATGCATGCATGCATGCATGCGTGCATTGATATATGTATGTATGTATGTATGTATGTATGTATGTATGTATGTATGTGTATATATGTATATGTATATACATATATATATATATATGTATATATATATATATATATATATATATATATATATAATATGTATATATGTATATATGTATATATGCGTATATGTATATATGTATTTATGTATATATGTATCTGTATATATATATATATATATATATATATGTATGTATGTATGTATGTATGTATGTATGTATGTATGTATGTAATTGTATATGTGTTTGCATGTGCATGTGTATTTGTGTGTGTATATATATATATATGTATATATATATATATATATATATATATGTATATGTGTATGTATATGTATATGTACATGCATTTATGTATATATGTGTATATGTATGAGTATACAAGTATATGTTTATTTATATGTATATGTATATGTATATGTATATGGTGTATGGTATATGGTATATGGTATATGTATATGTATGTGTGCCGATATGTATGCTCCCGACAATACATGGCGAGTCAGAGTAATGATGGAGGCCATGCTTTTTGCAGCTACATGCCATAGCTTCATCACGTTGTCACGTCATTGACCTTGATCAGAATACAGGGAGCGAGGGTGGATAGCATGATCACGAAGAGTAAGTTACAGACTATGATGGCTATGACAACGAGTTTGAACATGACAGGCATCGAATACAGTTCTGAGTCCTGAAGTAGCGAAGCTTTCATTCTCATATCAACCGCCGTGTTGGTGCTTGTTACTCTGTGGCTCGAGGCCGCTGTAGGAGCTTAGCCACAGCAGTCTTTTCATGTGGGCAAGCACAGGCGCACTCGTTTGTTGGACGCAAGGTGCTCAAACGGATTTGTTCGGCCAGTGTGCATGATGCCCCCGCCTGGCATTTTCACTGGACGAACTCGAAGCACGCATGGTCATGGAAGCACTGTGAAAGTCGGGGCTTTGGTTCGCTAACTCACGGGCTGGGTCTGCCAGCCTCGAGCCAACGAGTCGGGGGATTTAGGGTTTAGGGTTCGATGGGGCGTGGGCATCGGTGAGTTGTCTCAGTTGAGGTGAGATCATACATGCTTATGCAGTTATGCTGCCAGAAGCTGTTTGGAACGGTTTTCGATGCGTCTGTCAGGTCAACCTGTCGAAGTTTACAATCCAACCGTGCTTCTTCTATATTGCCTGATGACCTGTGTTGTGGGAAACTGTCCAGTTGACTTGTTGGCATTGATTAGATCAGCAGCCGATTGAAAAGTTCTCATGTTTACATACGTCACCTAAATGAAGCATTCAGAACTAGTGGGTTGAGCTTGGCAGTGCTTTTTCTTGCTTTGGTCAGCTCTGGTTTGCTCAAACTTCCTGCGCACGCTCTTGACAACCACCAGGTGGAACGGCTTCAGCGGTGGTGCGAAGCACAGCTCTGCAAACAGCTCAGCGCAGAGCAAGTCTGCGGCGTTCTTCGCCAAGCCCATGTTTTCGAGGCCACGCAGCTCGAGAAGGCTTGCCTATCCTACATCAAAGACAATGCTGCACAGGTGCTCAAGCTGCAGGCCTACGCTGACCTTATCAGCAACTGGCCTGAGGTTGCATTGAAGATTCACCTGTTTTCAACTGGTGTGCCAGAAGCCGAGGCGGCTGCAATCGTTCAGGCGCGCAAGGTACGCAAGTTGGAAGATGGGACGGAGAAGACTTCTTAGAGAGCAGGTGCGAGCCTATGGCAATGGCTGTGGCGGCAATGTCACTTCTCTCGCCTCCACAGTAGCTGCGTGGTGGCTTCTTCTAATTATTGGTTGTTGCAAGACTTGTTTCGACATCGCCTTGCGTCCTTCTCAAAGATCACCAGGGTTTGGCTACGGCTACATCTGTAGATTTTACCCTGCCTCCATTGCTATTCCTATGGTCCTTAGCTATGTCTGTACGCGACTGTGATTGGCCCAAGTCCCCCGTGTAAAAAGGTCACAAGGGTTGACTTACCGGTTACTTGCCGTGTCTAGCTGGTAGCCTTGGAAACTTCAGGTTATCAGCCGTAGTTAGCTCCGTAATGGACATCGTGCCGTTCACAACGGCCGCGGGCAACAACGGTGACGGTGGTGTTGGTGGCAGACAGGAGCAGGAAGCGAACCAGTACTTCGTGCATTTGTTGCAGGAGAATACTCAGGTGAACTTGTTCGTGAATGACCCCCGCATTCAAAGTGCCTTGGAGCTTCGCGCGGAACAAAGACATCGATTTGTATTGGACAACGTTTATGCCGAAGCCAACGCATACATTGCACACCTAGAGGCAACAGCGGATGCGAATCATCGTCAACAGCTAGCATTTGTGAGCCAATCCACACACCTGTTGGTGGGACAGCTACACAATGAAGTACGAGTGCTAGAGACAATCGCCCGAGCAGAACGACAATCAGCCAATGAGCTGCAGGCACAGCTGGCACGCGCACAAAGGGAAAGTCATGATGAAAGGTCTATGGCCATGCAGTTTGATGCACATCGGTCCGAGCTGGAAGCAGCAGCGCGCACGCTCACTGCGGAAAACAGACAGCATGAACGCCGTTTCGCGGAATTGCGCTCGAGTATCGAAGAAAACCACAGTGAGATGATTGCCTTTTTAGGGTCTGAGTTTGAGGAAAAGCTTCAATGGGAAGAGAATGAGTACTACCATAGGCTAACCTCTGAGGCACAGCAGTACGATAGCTTGGTTGATGACCTGCAGGACAGGAACGCGGAGCTTATAGCTGAGGTCGACTCACTCAGGACTGTCTTGTCGACAGCGGAGAGTAGCCCACCGCAAGGTGGTGCCGTGCCGGTGAAAGTCGATCCCAGTGAGAGCTCCAAGCTTCAACCAAGCCCACCGCAAGGTGGTGCCGCAGCGCCGCTTGTTCAGGGTCCTAGTCATTCATGGATTCCGACCCTTCCGAACCCCAGGGAGATTCCTGTGTCGCTTCGGACGGTTTTGGGAAGGACCCAACGGTATGACATTGGTGAGCCTGAGGATTCCAAGGCCCACAATGTAGCGGTATCTGCTGCTGAACAGAGTGATAACAAAGAACCGGCAGAATCTACTGAAAACAAAGAGCCTAGCGTACTTCTCGCTGAAGCACTCAAGTCGGTTATCCAGAAGCCTGACGATGACAAACCCAAGGCTAAGGAAGCCGAAACGGTGAAGCTACCCGACTTCCCTAACCCGGAGACTTACAGGAGTTGGAAGATCACAGTTAGGGAGGCCGTTCGGGCAGCATCGGACAGACCCGATGAGGCATTCAAATGGGTTCAAGAGGTTTACTCCAGGGACGCCGATCCGGAGAAGTTGAGGGACACGGGTAAATTCCTCACTTTGGATACAAAGATCCTTTCGGCGCTTTCGAGGGTCGCTTGGGGTGATCTTGGACGACAGATCATTAACTACAAAGAGTCTGAGGCAGCTGCTGGTAGGGCCGTTCGTGGTAGACAGGTTCTACTGATGTTCGAACACTACTTTAAGACCAACGAGGAAGCAGGCTCCCTCTACTCTGTAGAAGATCTACTCAAGGTGCAGTTGAATGGTGATGACCTTAGCACTTTCATTCACAATTGGGAGTCGGTCATCGCGGGGTTGAACCACCAACCCGAGGAGACTACACTGAGAGATATTCTACTTCGGCAGCTTCGCAATGCTAGCAAGCTCAAGTTTGATCTGGAAGTTTACGACAGGGCTAAGGAAGGAACAGAGCAGCGCACTTATGACTACTTGGTCAAATGCGTGAAAGAGCTGTTGGCAAGAGATAGGACTCGCAAAAACCGCACAGCAATCGCCAAAGCTCACGGTGCTAGATTTGGTGCCCCTGCTCCTTCCGATACCCCGAACACCCCTCGCGGCCGAAGCCAGGACAAGCCCTGCTACGCTTTCCAGCGTGGGAAGTGCCCCCGAGGTGATAAGTGCCCATACAAGCACGTGAAGCCTACTCCTGAACAGACAAGGGGCAGAACACCTCCACGTACCCCTTCGAGAAAAGGTGGAGGTAAAGGCGGTAAAGGTGGGGAGAAGAAGGACACCTCCAAGATTCCTTGCATCTTTTTCCCCAAAGGCACCTGCAAGAACGGTAAGAATTGCCCATTCATGCACAAGGATGCCGCTCCCTCTGTCCCGGCCAAAGGCGATAAGGCTGGCAAGGACGGGAAGAGATCGCCCTCCGGCAAGCGCAGGCGACCCAGTAAGAAAAGGCCAAAGAGTGAGGACAAGCCAGCCGCTTGCTGTCTTTCCCTCACAGCCACCCTCACGGGTGAGTCATCGGCCGATGCTGGGAAAGCCTACGCAGTAGCAGCCCGCAAGGGCCCTGCCGGAAAGCCCCGAAGCAGAAAGGTCCAGTTCCTAAGGCCAGAAATCATTGACATCCCGCCTGAAGGTGAAGGCTGGAGCTTCGTACCAGACAAGCACAAGTTCGAATTCAGGTACAAGTCTGCGGAGCTATGCCCACCATCAATTCCAGAGGACACCGAAGAAGCTTTGCAGAATGCCCGTCACTTGGAATCAGCACTTAAGGTTCGGGTCAAGTGTAACTACAGGTGTCGGGGTAGAGAAGGATTCTGCATTCACTGCAAAGAAGCAATTCCCCTGCCCCAACTTGCTGCAGCGGCGGTGACAGGTGAAAACCTCGAAATCATCGCAGACACCGGTAGCGAGGAAGATCTGATTAGTCACTCTGATTTGGAGGCCCATTTCAAGGGCAAGCCTAAGAAGGTTGCTTCCAACCCAGTGAGTTTGATCACTGCTAACGGACCAGTAGACGCTGATACCAAGCATGAGGTCTACATTGAGTCATTGAGGAACCCATTGCAGTTCGTTGAGCTCCCCAACACACCTGCAGTTTGCTCTGTAGGAAAGAAGTGCATGGAACAGGGGTTCTCTTTCCACTGGCCAGCGGGTGAGGCGCCATATTTCATTTGCCCAGACGGTCAGAAGATGATTTGCCAACTCCGAGGCAATGTCCCCGTATTTGGCGACCGAGGACCATTGATGGCATGCCTAGCGGCAAAGTCCTCAGAATCTGATGGCAGTAAGGTTGCACCGACCTCTGTCAAGTCCGGTTCGGGTTTTCGGTAAACAGCTGCCCGCAAGGGCACGCCGCACCAGCTAGGGGAGAGCACGAACATGAACCTGAAGGTCCAGCTGGCGCGGCAGAAGATCCCATCGAAAAGATGGCGAAGTGCATTCCTCCCATTCCTGGGGTGGAAACGAGACAACTGCTAAAGGCAGGTTGGACTGTCATCAACGGCAGCCCCGCTGCTAAGGTGGCACATTTCCCAAAGACGCTTCGAACACCGGCTCCTAAGTTCCCAAGATATAGAATCCGGACTACTTGGGGATTCAAGGATGACGTGTGGTCTTTGTTGGAGGATTCAGTCAATATTGACGAATTGGACGGAATCTATGGGGAAGTACCTGAAGGGACTATTGCGACTATCACATTGTTTGCTTTGCCTGAAGGGGAAGTTGAGGCGCAAGCCGACAGCGATGTCGAGCCATACACAATGCCAAAGTCTAAGAAGGACGAAGCTTCCTTGAGGGCTGAGGCTGTGTCTTTGGAACATCGACTTACCCATAGACCAAAGAACCCGTTCTGCCCGATTTGCCAAAGGGCCAAGATGTATGCGCCCCAGGCGCGTAAATCTGGCGGATCCTCTACAATCTACAGTAAATCGTTCGGTGACCACATCACAGTAGATCACATCGTGACCGCTGATGCCAAGGATTACGGGTTTCAAGACGAAACCGTGGCTCATGTTGTGAAGGACGTGTATTCTAAGTTCAGATACGTGTACCCTTCCAAGACAAAGTCTGGTGAGCAGTGCTACGAAGACATGTTGCACTTCCTTGGTACGGACGATGAGGTAAAGGTTATATATTCCGACAATGCGTTGGAGTTTGACTTTGCGGCCAGACAGCTTCGCGCTCGTCACAACACTTCTAGGGAGTATGTGAACGAAAACAAGGCCGTAATCGAACGAGAAATCAGAACCATTTTGGAAGGCACACGGGCCAATTTAGTGCAATCAGGACTCCCAGATCGCTATTGGCCTCTTGCATCGCAACATCATGCTATGTGTCTTAACATCACTGCGAGGATTGACAATGGTCAGATTCCGTGGGAAATCAGGTACGGTGAAAAGTTCAACGGCATGCGTATTCCCTTTGGAGCGAAAGTCCTCTATTGGGCCCCGAAGAAACAACGCAAGCCTGAACGATCCAAGTTTTCTGGCACAGGGATTGAAGGTATATTCCTTGGGTATCACATCCAACCTGGTTTTATCTTCAAGCTTGAGTACGTTGTTGCTCCCCTACACAACATCGAAGCCGCGTTGGAAAACGAAGACCTACGTGTGTTTCGTACTAAGAGACTGGAGCTACCAGATGGTGACTTTAAGTTTCCGTTGTTGCAAGAGCCTGCCTTGGATAAACCACCAAGCCTTGATGCACAACATCACAATGTCCTTGATGAGCAAAACCCGCATCCTCCTCTGGAGGAAGGGGGGGGATACGATGAAGCCACAATTCAGGAACAACTTAGCGAAGACCTGGATGAAATGTTCCCAGAGCTATTTGGTCCTGATCGTGATAAAGATCCTCCGCCGAAGGACGCGAAAGAAGCCACCCGCAAGGGTGAGTCAAAGTCTGATTCCCGTGCAGCATTGCTTGATGATGTTCCGTTCTCTGTGAAGCAGAAGCTGAAGTCCAGCGCAGCAGTAGCAGCGCAAGAACCACCGTATGGTTATACGTGGAGTGGGGAATGTTTGGTCAAGAAGAACAACAAGAACCGCCCTGACGCTATTGATCATACTGCATGGAAGTCTATGTCGAAAAGACAAAGGGCAACAGCAATTGCAGAACATGAGAAGAAGCTACATGAGGAGAATGAGGCACTGTATCGTGAAGCTGTAAAGGTGGTACCTGCAATGCCAGTCCTACATGGGTGTAGCGAGGAACATCGGGAACGACTCAAAGGGCTATATGACAAGAAGCTTTTTCAGATCGCAGATGAGATGTATGCTGTTGTCGCCAAGGTCCTGTCGTCTAAGGAGATTTCAACAAACCCTAAGGCGCAGGCTGCCATGGACAAAGAATGGCAGAAATTGGTAGACAAGGGCTGCTGGGTACAAGGCAAAGTCAGGGAGTTCGAGTCGGTTGCCAACGAAGCTAAGAAATCTCAAACCAAGGTTCACTTTGGCAATGTTTTTGAGATTGGTACCCTAAAGGGAGCCGAGCTGAAAGAAGGTGACCCTAATCGTAAGTATAAGGGACGTTCGGTATTTCAGGGAAACAAAGTACTTGACGAAAACGCCGATCACGCGCTCTTCGCGGAGATGTCGAGCAGTCCTGCATCCATGGAAGCAGGAAAGATTCTTGACGTCTTCGGCTCACAACCTGGCTACGTCATCCAGCAGGCCGACGCCAAGCAAGCATACACCCAAGCCTTGTTCCAAGGGGTTGCCACTTGGGTACGGTTGCCTCGCAATCGCTGGCCTAAGGCATGGCAGGGCATGAAAGATCCTGTCGTTCCACTCAAATTGGCACTTTACGGACACCCCGATTCAGGGGGGATTTGGGAACATCACTGCGAAGCTGAGTTGAAGAAAGTCGGGTTCGAGGCAGTATTGACTGACATTTGGAAGAGTGTATTCTACCACCCGAAGAAGAAGCTGCTTTTAGTGGTATACGTCGATGACTTTAAACTCGCTGGCCCTAAGAACTCTATCAAGGAGGGATGGGACTTGATCTCGAGCGTCATTGATATGGATCTTCCGGAAGCCATTGGTAGATACTTTGGGTGCATGCACAAGGAAGAACACAACCTCAAGCTGCCCAAGGAAGCACACCCTTTTCGTCACGTGTTTGAGCCCGAATCATCAGCTGCAACTCCTGCTAGAAAAGAAGATTATTGGGACATTGACCCTGAGAATCTCATAGCAATCCGACATCACCGTTACCCTCGCAAAAGACTTTATGTCCCCAACGAGGATGATGCTAGAATGTTCCCGGGGATTGGCCCTCGGAGATACACCGTGGTGGCTAAAGCCACCCGCAAGGGTGAGTCGGAGGAAGTTGTTGTTGACAGTTGCAATCAAATGCGCGATCGCTGTCTTCAGGATTGGTGGGACGGCGAAACCTACTTCGACCTCGCAGGCCGGGAACAGTCTGATTTCGAGCTGGCAGTTGCAGCTGCCCGCAAGGGCAAGCCGGTTCGTAACAAGTCTGAGGCTAAAAAGGAGGCGAAGCAGAGCAAGTTTGTTACCTTGTCGCAAGACGTTAAAGAGAAGCCCGGTGCTATGACCAAGCCAGTCACTCGCATCACGTACGATATGAAGGACTTTCTCGACTCTTGTGTTGATCGGTACTGCGAGCTTGCTAAGGTAGAGCGTAAGACCCTGAAACCAGCTGCAACTCCCTTCCATGAGCTACGTGTGGCTTTGCCAACAGCTTCCGAAGGAGAGAAGGCAGGGCGCTTGCAACCTATTGCTAGTAAGGTACTAATGAAGATTTTGTTTGCTGCTCGCATGGCCAGATGGGATCTTCTAAGGGCAACACAGTCTTTGGCGTCGAGGGTGACCAAGTGGAGTCCAGATTGCGACTTGGGACTTCACAGGTTGGTTTGCTACATAAACTCTTCGCTTGATGTCACTATGAGCGGTTTCATAGGTGACAGCATAATGGATTGCAGACTGTGGTTGTTCAGCGATTCCGACTTTGCGGGCGAATTCGATTCAAAATCGACTACAGGATGTGCGATGTTTTTGGTCGGACCAAACACGTACTTTCCCCTCAATGCCTTCAGCAAGAAACAAACATCTATCACAATGAGCTCTACTGAGTCCGAAGTTGTAGCAGCGAACCACGGTTTACGTGCCGAAGGTCTACCTTGCCTGAGCTTGTGGTATTTCCTATGGCGTGGAGATGCCGGCCGCAAGGCCGAGCCAAGGGCTGAGAGGGTGGATTCGATAGTTGCACGCATTGATCCTGAGCTTGACGAAATTCGTTATGGGTCCACTAGACCGGATGGGTTGTCAATCGCAGACATCAACGGCCTCTGTGTCCAACTTCCTGAAAGTTTCGAGGTTAGACATATGGAGGATAACCAGGCGACAATCACTCTTTTGTTGCTAGGGCAAGCTGGTGTTCTACGACATACTGATCGGACACAGAGGGTGAGTTTCTCATGGCTAAAGCAGCAATATGAGGTTGGGCATTTCAAGCTACTGAATGTTGGTACAGCCGAACAAGTGGCGGATGTGTTCACGAAGCCTTTCACTGAAAAGAACAAGTGGACGCATGCCTTGAAGCTTATTGGACATACAACCAGCGCGAACGTAGCCGGGTGCAAACCCGAGTCGAAGGTCGAGGTCGACAACAAGGTTTCGGTAGCAGCAGCTCCGGATGCATCAAAGGTTGTCGAGGACTTCGCTAAACAATCGTTCGAGGCTAACGATTACAGCTTCAAGACCTTCGAGAAGCTAGCTGGGCTTATTCGTACCAATCTCAAGGCATCATTGGCAAAACCGCGATCGTTTATGGCTTCTGAGAACATATCCAAATACTTGGTATTCGGCGCTTGGGTCCATGGTGGGTGCTTTGGTATTACCAACCGCACAAAACATTACCCATGGATTTGCAGGTATGTGAATGAATTTGTTAAGCGATCATCTCCGAAAGGGTTTACATGGACTTCGTTCGTGTTCAACTTCAATGGCAAGGCCCGCATCCACACGGATAAGTACAATCAGAAAGAATCGTACAACCTGACGTTCTCCTTCGGTAACTATACAGGGGGGACACTGTGGATTGAGGGCGCGAGCCAGTTGGGACCACCGGGAATATACACAGATGATCATGGCAAAGACCACAAAGGCTACAATTGCAACACATACCGCAAGCCTACTCTGTTGCATCCATCGACAAAACATGGTGTACAACCCTACACTGGCGAACGACATTCCTTCATCGCCTACTCTTCAGGGGGGTACCAGAAGTTCAACAAAAAGCAAAAGCAATTCCTACATCAATCACAGTTCCTCTTGCCTACGGCTCAGTTGAAGCTCCCAGCTCAGAAGGCAATGGTTTGTTTGAGGTGTGTTGGTTCCCCTCTCGATGAGGGGGGTAGGCTTAACAAACCGTGTTCTCGTTTCGAAAATGATTCGTTTGCACACACATCGCTCGAGTGCACAAACATACAACAAACTGCAAGCCTTGACCATGAAATCTTGGCTTCCTTTATGTGCACGCCTGCCATTGCAATTTCAGCTGGTTCTGATCTTCTCGACTTGCCCGAAGCGACTTCTACGATCCCCAAGATGGCAGCCATCGTTGTGAGCGACGAGTTCTGCAGGGTCAACACCTCCGAAGCAGACAGGGCTGGAGTTACCAAGGCCATGAAAACCATTCTCCAATCCGCCGCCCTCAACAACGATATCATTTCGCTCGGCGCCGATCATGAGAGCCAGCTCTTGGAGTCGGCGTACAGCTGCGTATCCACACAATGCGCGGCTGGGGTATCCTTGACCCATGCCGACGCAACCTGTGTGGCTCTGCGCCAGATGGCTGACCTCAGTGACGAGGGACTCGCCAAGTTGAAGCCAACCGCAAGGTTGAGCCCCAAGGCCAAGCGAGCCATCATAGTCGTGTCAGACAGCTCCACTGCACTTTGCAAGAAGAACAGGCGGGGAGTGTTCGTCAAGGCCGACTTGGATGCGGAAGTGAACATCGCAAGCACGACGCTGGGATGGACACAGACTCGCTACACCATGTGTTGGGGCAAAACCTTGGCGTGGATTGTCTGGCAGGTCGAGGAGCATGTGAAGGAGCTCCGGAGCAACTATCCGGACCACACCATCGACGTGATCTGCTGGTGGTGCGGGAACGAGATCTCCGGCCAGTGGGGCTGCATCCCCACGCGGCTAGGACCGGGACTCGCCTACAGAGATCCCAATGTCACAACGGAGACCGTCGCACGGAAAGTGAGAAGGGCAGCGGACGTTTTAGCCGCCCTCGCGGGCGAGCCGGACATTGGTTTTGTGAAGGTGATTGGGCAGGTGGAGGCGGACTTGTTCCAACTCCACTCAGCCTACAACGACTTCAATGCCGCTATGTTCGAAGAGTTCAGGCAGCGCGGTCTGCAAGTGCAAACCGCGAGCTCCTTGGTCGAAAAGCTGGAAATGTATGACAGCTTTCACGCCAGTGAAGACCCTCGCAACCGCGAGTTATTCCAGACCTACTTGCATGCGACTTTCAATGCAAGCAGGAGCGAATGGCTTGCCCAGAAGATGACACCCTGTGTCAGGGCTTTGCTTGTTCGCTATGAGCACTTTGAGACTGGCTCCGGTGCCAACAATCCAGTGCTCCAGGATGTCTTCAAGCAGTGGCGTGCGGAGAAGGACCAGCTCATGAACCCGAAACAGGCAAAGCCAATGCCGGTCACCCAGGAGGACAAGATGTGGGAAGCCCCAGATGCCGCTGACGCAACCGACGTCACTAAGATCTCCGAGGGGCCACCCATGGATAAAGCCATCCGCAAGGATGTGCCAAGGATCGGTGCAACCACTGATGTTAGTGCTGTTGCGGAGTGCGTCAATGACATTGTCACCCAGGACGCAGACGGTAAGGTGTCCTACAATACCCCGGGCACGGTGGAACTGGTGGATGAGGGCGACCAAGTCGACCCCATCCCATCATCGATTGGACGTGTTGTTGAGCCAGCGCCTCCCAAGAAGACTAAGAAGTCTGACCGAGATGAGGATGCCATGCGAAGGCTCATGTTCATTGATGAAAGCGCCCCGCAAGGGGCTGCCACTGTGCCAGAGCTTCCGAATGAGTACTTCTACAACGGCAAGAAGCACTTGATGAAGCCCTTCAATCCGGAGGACATTGTGGGAGACAGGCACGTGACGTTCAAACACGGTGACCTGAAGTTCCTCACCAAGCTGCTGCGTGGCCATGAAATGGACGACTTCCCTGCATTGATCTTTGACCGTGGGTGCTGGGCAGACGTTGACACTCTGCTCCAGGTCTTCAACACGGCACGGAACGCACGCTGGGGTGTGAGGCAGCTGCTACGCGCAGCGAAAGCCGATAACAAGGGACGGATCAGACTTTTGGGCATTGATGTCCCCATGAAGGACACCCTGGGTCAGCCGCTATTCCCTGTCCGGGTGAGGATGGCCCAAGGGCACAACTCCAAGCTCATCGGCAATAACCCGGACGCGGACTTCTTCCTCGCGACCAGGTTCTACAGCGGATTGTCCGAGTACGAGGCCGACCTGCAGAGCAGCGTCAGGGGGGTCACTGTGCTCTCCCGCGAGGATACCCCCCCGAAGCTCTTCCACCGCGCGAATGAAAAGGGAATGAAGGGGATCCTCCGCGATGGCATGATCGCCGGCTCCGCAAGGTCAGACAGGTCCCACAACTACCTGTCCCCGTACAAGTTGGACGACACCCACTACAAGAGTGGAATGCGCTCCAACCAGCCGATCGAGCTGACGATAGACACGCAGCGAGCAATCGCCGCTGGATGCGTTTTCTTCGTCACGGAGACCGACGGCGTCCTCACACGGGACAATGTGCCTCCCGATTGCGTGCTGTCCGCCGTCGACACCAGCAACAAGAACCTCCCGCTCTATGTCGCCGAGCACAAAGAAGCCGCCCGCGAGGGTGAGCCAGAGCGCATTTTCCGCGCCAAGCGCGACTATGAGGAGGCCGCAGCAGCAAGCTCATCATCGGCACCGCCCCCAAAACAGGCGGCTATCGCTCCCAAAGCGATTGCTTCAAAGAAGATGCCGAAGGTGGTTCCCAAGCCCTCCGCAATCGCCGAAAAAGACGAAAGCATGGACTTGGATGAAGCCACCCGCGAGGGTGAGCCTGCTGATGCTGCTGGTGCATTCGACCTTGACGAAACCAAGGTTGAGGTTGAGGTTGAAGTCGATGAAGGCGATACAACGGATGCGGGTGAGGATGAGCCATACCCACTTGGCTCACACCCATGCCGCGAGTGCGCAGCAGTCGTTGCCAATGGCATGCTGTTCTGCCTCCGTTGCAAGGCTCCACAGACGGATGATTCTAAGAAGATCACAAAGCGAGTCTTTTTCGGAATTCGAGACTTCGCCAGCGCCTTCTTGCCACCGCTGCGACCGGAGCCCAGAAGCCCATCGATGATCTCCTTGCGAGTGACCTTCGAGGCCTGGGCGAGGGACCAAAGAAACGTGGTCAGATGAGCGCAGAGGCTGCCGCCATTCGTGACGCCAAAGACCGAAAGATCAGGGCCGCCAAGTTGAACTTTGACACCGTGTCCGACCGCTTCGAGAAGGACGCGCAGTTCAACGTGAGGATGATGCAAGAGGGCCGCAACTTCGAGGACATGCAGAAA